GTAGTGAGACTGTAACATGGGCATCTGACGTAGAGGAAAGATGAGTTGGGAAGGGTTGCCTAAATGGACGATAAATGGCGCTTCCGCGGAGGAAGGCGCGTTATCAACGACGTGATAAGGCGCTCGCGCGTGCTCCACACACGCCTGGGGAACGGCAACGCCCATCAATCGACATTTCTGGGATGATAAGCGGCGCCGGCGCTTGGCACATGACGCTGCTATCACGATCGATCGATTTCCACTTCCGAAGTTCATATCATGTAGCCCTTTATTCTTATTGTATCATATCACCCATGGGATCACCCATTCGATCTTTACTTGCCTCTCAGACTCAAACGATATTGACTTGGAGCTTCGAGTTTTGTACGGCTTCTGTCGTGTCTTCTTCGTTGCTGTATCCAGGCGCAATGTTGAGTGGGGGGTTGTGCCGCGTGGCATATTCGCGCACTTCACTGCGGAGCGTTAAATTCGTGAGCACAGGAGGAGTGTAGGCAGTCTAGAGGGTGGGGTGAGGCGACTCACTCGACTATCGCCAGGTACTGGGCAGAGTCTCCACTCACATAACCTACCCTTCAAAAAGCGAGAAAGTGTCGGGTGCAGACCAAACACCACAACTGACGACGGCCTCCAAGTAAATCTGGTTAGAAGTTGTTCATAGTGATAGCTGATTTCTGGTAAATGATAGTTGTAATTAGTGACAATCGATAGAATACAACTGCAACAGGCTAATCATTTCATTGGCAGAAAACATTAACATTTTGTGAAGGCCGTCGTCACTTGTGGTGCATGGTCTGCACCCGACACTTTCTCGCTTTTTAAAGGGAGATGCACTTCGCGCCTACCATATCCAAACAATCCACTTGTATTGTCCTCAATTTTGTCGTAAGCGTTGACCTCAGCAAAAGTGCATAAGTAGTGAATATGAAGTGGATCGTTGAACAAAGCTAAGCTTTTTTGACAGTGAGAATGGCGTCCCTGCTAGTGTTACAAAACGTTTCGGAGCGCATTGACGATTCTGAACTCTGAAGAACTGCGTAAAGACGAAATGTGGAATTTTCTCTTGGATTGGCTTTTTGTTATGCGCCGTGCACTTCAATTCCAATTGTGATCGCAGCGCAGTGAATGCAATCATACCACGGCTTACAGGAGAGATGGACAAGGAAGTGTTCCTGTCCTCCCAGGCAAATGCGCTACCAAACCACCGATGGCTAAAGCGAAACTGCTTTTCCAGAGGCGTTGCGGAATTTGTGAGCACGGTCATCAACTTTTTAGGGAAGGATCCGTTCGCAGAAAGAAGAGAAACCAAATCGAGCTCAAGGAACTGGCGCCCAAATGCAGTTTCCTCAATCTTTTCATTGGACTTGAATCCTTTATCTCAATTCACTCGATTGCTGATCCAAACAGCAGCGAGTAAGGGTCATCAAAGAAGCATGATCCACAGATACCGACGCGGTGAAGATCGGTTTTCTGGATGTTTCTTAATTTTGACTTTGAAATTCCCTGGGCAAACTTCTCAGGATTGTTTTCTAAGACCTCTACGTGGCGAATCACTGGAGGCCGTTGAAGTTGCTATGGCGATGTCGTTATAATGGTTGGAGCTCAGTGTCGCTTCACCATTACTTCTCCAAATAATGTAATCGGCCGTTTGTCTCTCAAATTTCTCCAAAATGGCCATATTTCTTTGGAAAGGAAGGCGTGTAGAGGTGGTCAATGATACTGAGATAAAGAAAAAAAAACAAAGAAAACGGCTTGAAATCCATAAAATGGGACCCATATCCTACCCGTTGATTTCCGCATGAGGCGAGTTTTATGGATGATGACGTCATCAAGGCAAGCGCTCTGCTCTGCATCACTACTAAAGCGGTTAGAGAACGCGGCTAGCGCGCGCCTGGAAGGTCAATGGCATTCCAATTGCTGCGATCGCATGCGATCACTACTGTGATTCGCTAACACGTTCGAGCACTTTGCTCAAAAACCAATATCTTCAATTGATATCGGCCTGCGACCATACACTTATGTGGCGGTTTAGCCCCTATGTTCGCGCCTGGAGCCCGTCGGAATAAAAATGAATGCTCAGGCACCAGGAAGCAGCGATTAAAGCCCGCGCCCGGCCCATTCGGCTCAACTGCGCATATCACCATAGACGGGTACTCAACAGGAGGCCCGTCGCGCAGCGAATAGGCAGAGACGTAGACGGAAGAGCGCTGTGTGATGTGGGACGTAAAATGGTACACTCTATCTAACTCGACGCGAAATCACAGCAGTGCGCGTTGCGATCCGCTGACCAGCCTGCGTCTCCGCCTTCTCGCAGCGCGACGGGCGTCTTGTCGAATACCCACCATACAAGTTTTGTCCAGGTTCTGCCCACTACCGTAAGCTTCTGTGGCCGTCCAGTACCCTTATTTCCCGACTGGGCTCCTCGAATCAACATGTAGGCTTAGGTACTGATAACGGGATTTTAGTTTCCGCTCGCCCACACCGTACACAATTTTGATCATGTTACAGCTACCATTGTGGACGTCCCGAAGGCAACTTTCCACCCATGCAGGTTCTTCTCTTCGTCTTCTCAACATCTAGGGAGCGGACAAACATGCTGATAACAAAGAAATAAACAGACATACCGGCACACCAAACTACGGCTCTGTACAGGGTGGCCGAAAAGTATAGGACGCGGCTTTGACCGCTTGCTGGCACTGAGCCGTGGAGTATTTTCAGAGTGTTTCGAAACTCTTCGAAAGCTTTGAAACTATGTAAGAAGCACCATAAGTTGTTTGGTCCAAAGTTCATCTGAACTCTCGCCATGAAGATTTTTTGCATCGACCCATTACCAAGAGGCTGCCCAATGACGGTCTCTGAAATTGCAACTTCGGAAAGCGACTCGGTATTCCCTCTTCAACTCTTTGAAACATGTTCGGTGCTCTCAAGGTTCAAGCACACGTCTCTGGGATTGCGAAAAGTGGAAGTTCAAGAACTGTGCACACTCAGAAGATTGGGGCAATCACCTAGAAGAGGATGGCTCACAACCAGGGTGAATATCGGTCGAGGAAATCCTCGACAGGGGGGTCGTACCTGTCGGGCTGGGTCATGGGGGGTCGTACTCTTGGGGGTCAGTAACAGCAGTGGTATCGTGGTGCAGATAGGTAAGAGGGTATAGCGCAGCAGAAAATGAAAATATCTGAAAAAAACATGATATTAAATTTTCTTTGCAGGTTCAGTCGCTCCATTCCTCCACCTTCATGAGAAGGGCGTATTTGAAGGCAGTACAAAGAATGAAAGTGCATCCCCGCAAAGAAGACTGCCACATGTGCGCATCGCTCGCTCCTCTCCTATTATTGTACCATGAGCGTACGGGAGAGCCTCCTGTCCGGACAAAGAAAACTGACGGAAGAGAGTGGAAATGGTAACACGACGTAAGCAAACCAGCCCTTTTGGCGCTTCGGCTGGGACCGTATGCTGAATGTTGGGGAGGGGATGGAGTCTCCGACGGTGGACGGACCACTTCAACTCGGTCCTTAGAACCGCACAATTTGGTGCTTACCTCAGAACTAAGCCTTAAAGAGAGGACGGGTCCGTCCCCTCTCCAAGGCTTAGTCCTGGGGTGAGCAAACCAGCCCTTCTGGCGGAGCTGCTGGACCAGCTGCACCACTTGCGTCAGTACTCTCCTATCGTACCAACCGAGTTGAAGTAAACCGTCGACCGTTGGGGACCCCATCCCCTCCCCAACATTCAGCATACGGTCCCAGCCGAAACGCCAAAAGGGCTGGTTTGCTTACCTCGCAAGGGGGTGGCCATTGTCTTCGATGATGGAACTAAATCCTGATGCCTCATCCGACCTCTTTCGCCCCACGTGACGCACGTGATAACCTGTGAGTCAATCATTAATAAGCTTTTTTATTGTTATTTATTTATTGCATCGAAAATTGATCGAATTACGAACAAAATCATGATGGAGATGAATAGCAATGTTGAGTACAAATTGAAGGCACAAAGTAAAAACGACTTGCGGTAGCACTTAACATCGACAAGTGATCACAATCAAAAATTGAAAGACCAAACACAAAAAGAATACTCACAACAGAGAAGGGGGGTGAGAAGCTGAGCCATAGTAAAAGAGCTGCATCGGTGTTTAAACTGCGAAGTTTGATGTGGACCTCAACTGAAAGCTGTACGTTTTTCGAAAAGCCAGTGATTACGATAAAGTGGATTTACAACAGGAGGTGAATGCAGCACTGATGAGGTATCCAGGTGGCAAAGATGGTGAGGTCCAGCGTTTTTGTAGCGAAAGCTAGGTGAAGCATAGTTGTGCTTCAAACCTACAAACCACCCCGCCTTTAAAAGAGGTGTTACGTCACCGTTATGATAATCATTGGCCTTCAAAGCATTTCACCAACGAGCGCATCTTCTGCCCTTGCCGTATATACTGTCACAACATCCCAACTCAAACAACAACATCTGAGCTGTAAACTCGCCCAAAGCCAATGGGCAGAAGGGGATTCCGTCTATGAGAAGACGACTCCTTCAGAATTGTCCCAATGCGCCGAACCATGTGGCTGCTCTGCTTCATATTTGATCAACATCAAATTTCGTACTCACCAAAAACAACTTAAACAACAGCAACTGCGGCAGCAGTGTTTCTTATGGGCGTTTCTTGCTTCATGTTTATGGGAATGTCTTCTTTGCTGTGTGCAACTACGCGTTCTTGACTTTCCCATTGTTGCGCAGTTGGTCGATTCATGTAGCACATTTCGCAAATGTATTTAACAATGGCCGCAGTTCCGACGGCGGTTAGTTGTGTCTCGCTCAACTTATGGCCACATTGAGGACAGAAATGAAACAACTCCATCAGCAGTAGCCCTTCAACGAGGAAGTAGCGACCTAGCACAGCTGGATCCGTCTCACCAAGAAACGCTTCAAGATGGAACGTTGGAGAACGCGTCGACACATCGCCGCATGATAGTTTGTCCTCACGCTAAAAAATGCTTATTTGCACCGTCAAACTCTCAGCTTTCATTAGAACTAACCAATTCAGAAGGACAAGCAGATACCTTGGTGGCTGAAGAGGGCCCACATTTGCTCTTGATAGAAGAGCTAGGTCCAGGAACTTCGTTGTGAACTACATCTTCCCCAGTCTCCATCTGAACAGAGGATTTCCAGAACACTTCTTTTTCAACACAAAAAACAGCTTCTTCACCTCTTCCGTTAGTGGCCACATGGCTGTAGAATAGTAACGTTTCAAAACGTGATTCAAGAAAATGGCTAATATCCCGTGGTGTGATGCGGACCAGACCCTGAACTTGTCATTGTTACATTACTGAAAACAGGGGTGGGCAAGGCTGTTACTCAAAAATCGCACCTCTGCCTTCCTGTCCAAAGCGGACACTAAATGTTGAGGGATGTCTCCGTTTGATACATACGCTTTGCGTTTAGAGCCTTCGAGTTCCTCAGTTAAGCTTACTCTTTTTCCAGCCAACCTCATTTCGGATACAATATATTGCCCCTGAAGGGATACCAGGTTACGGTAAAGCCCTTATGGGGTCAGTTGTCCGACGG